TACAATAATGCTCACATAACACAATCATTCACTTCGGTTACTTCTGGTCATTAAACACATATATTGACGTTGGTTACCTCTGGTAGCCTTACACCGCTGTTCATATATTGACGTTGGTTACCTTTGGTCACCCTGGACACATTTTGACTATGTTTACCTCTGGTCCACGTACAATGATGCTCTGGTTACATTACACATTCATTTAATTTGGTCACCTCTGGCCACCTTGTTCATATCTTCACTATGTTGACCTCTGGTCACCTTATAATAATGCTCACATAACACAATCATTCACTTTGGTTACCTCTGGTCACCAAACACATATATTTACTATGATTTCCTCTGGTCATCTTACACCGCTGTTCATATATTGACTTAGGTTACCTATGTTCACCGTGGACACATATTGACTATGTTAACATCTGGTCCAGTTACAATGATGCTCTGGTCACCTTACACACTCATTTAATTTGGTTACCTCTGGTAACCTTGTACACATATTCACTATGTTGACCTCTGGTCACCTTACAATAATGCTCACATAACACAATCATTCACTTTGGTTACTTCTAATCACCAAACATATATATTGACGTTGGTTACCTATGGTCACCTTATACCGCTGTTCGTATATATTCATTTAGGTTACCTCTGGTCACCTTGGACACATATTGACTATGTTTACCTCTGGTCAAGTAACAATGATGCTCTGGTCACATTAATAATACTAATAATAATAATGAAAATTTATATAGCGCCCTATATAAAAAATTAAAATTACTCTAAGCGCTGTACATTCAGCAGTGTAAATAACATTACACACTCATTTAATTGCACCTTACAATAATGCTTCCTTACAATATGCTTACATAACACAATCATTCACTTTGGTTACTTCTGGTCACCAAACACATATATTGACGTTGGGTAACCTCTGGTCAACTTACAATAATGCTCACATAACACAATCACTCACTTTGGTTACTTCTGGTCACCAAACATATATATTGACTTAGGTTACCTCTGGTCACCTTGGACATATATTCACTATGTTGACCTGTGGTCACCTTACAATAATGCTCACATAACACAATCATTCACTTTAGTTACTTCTGATCACCAAACACATATATTGACGTTTGTAACCTCTGGTAACCTTACAATAATGCTCACATAACACAATCATTCACTTTGGTTACTTCTGGTCACCGAACACATATATTGACGTTAGTTACCTCTGGTCACCCTACACCGCTGTTCATATATTAACTTAGGTTACTTCTGGTCACCTTGGACACATATTGACTATGTTTACCTCTGGTCTAGTTACAATGATGTTCTGGTCACATTACACACTCATATAATTTGGTTACCTGTGGTCACCTTGTACAAATATACAATATTTTGACCTCTGGTCACCTTACAATAATGCTCACATAACACAATCATTCACTTTGGTTACTTCTGGTCATCAAACACATATATTGACGTTGGTTACCTCGGGTCATTTCAACTAAAGGCCGGAGAACACAGTTATTTCGAAGTGCATTTCTTTTAGACAATAAATGGAAATTAAAAAAATCCCACCTGCGCTTTCTCAATAATATTTTTACAGTATGGTGTACTACTTTTGGGACAAATTATAGGAAAATTATAGAAAACTCAAAATATGGACAATTTTATGTTAAAGGGGTCTTGAATTCTTTTGACAGCTTCCGAGATACTAATTTTTAACCATTTTTACTTGGACCAAATCACTTCTTTACTCTAAAATCCATGACCTAATTTTTTTACAGTGTAGTTTCATTCCCCTAATTGCTATGTGAGGCATGAAACATGAAGAAATAAATGTGGAAAGGGTATAAAAAAAATAGCAAGAAACACACTGTTCACACTAGGGACTATATTCGTAGACACCGAATTGAAGGGACGATAACTCTGTTCCAGGACCAATATTGACTATGGTTACTTCTGGTCACCCTACACTGCTGTTCATATATTGACTTAGGTTACCTCTGGTCACCTTGGACACATATTGACTATGTTAACATCTGGTCCAGTTACAATGATGCTCTGGTCACAGTACAAAATCATTTAATTAAGTTACCTCTGGTCAACTTCTACATATATTCACTATGTTGACCTCTGGTCATCTTACAATAATACTCACATAACACATCATTCACTTTGGTTACTTCTGGTCATTAAACACATATATTGATGTTGGTAACCTCAGGTCACCTTACACCGCTGTTCATATATTTACGTTGGTTACCACTGGTCACCCTGGACACATATTGACTATGTTTACCTCTGGTCCACGTACAATGATGCTCTGGTCACATTACACACTCATTTAATTTGGTTACCTCTGGTCACCAAACACATATATTTACTATGGTAACCTCTGGTCATCTTACACCGCTGTTCATATATTGACTTAGGTTACCTCTGATCACCTTGGACACATATTGACTATGCAAACCTCTGGTCCAGTTACAATGATGCTCTGGTCACATTACACACTCATTTAATTTGGTTACCTCTGGTCACTTTGTACATATATTCACTATGTTGATCTCTGGTCACCTTACAATAATGCTCACATAACACAATCATTTACTTCGGTTACTTCTGGTCACCAAACACATATATTCAGTATATTGACCTCTGGTCACCTTACAATAATGGTCACATAACACAATCATTCGCTTTGGTTACTTCTGGTCACCAAACATGTATATTAACGTTGGTTACCTCTGGTCACCTTACACCGCTGTTCATAAATTAACTTAGGTTACCTCTGTTCACCTTGGACACACATTGACTATGTTTACCTCTGTTCCAGTTACAATGATGCTCTGGTCACATTAAACACTCATTTAATTTGGTTACCTGTGGTCACCTTGTACATATATTCACTATGTTGACCTCTGGTCACCTTGCAATAATGCTCACATAACACAATTATTCACTTTGGTTACTTCTAGTCACCAAACACATATATTGATGTTGGTTACCTCTGGTCACCTTACAATAATGCTCACATAACACAATCATTCACTTTGGTTACTTCTGGTCACCAAACACATATATTGACGTTGGTTACCTCTGGTCACCTTACACTGCTGTTCATATATTGACTTAGGTTACCTCTGGTCACCTTAGACACATATTGACTATGTTTACCTCTGGTCCACGTACAATGATGCTCTGCTCACATTACACGCTCATTTAATTTGGTTACCTCTGGCCACCTTGTTCATATATTCACTATGTTGACCTCTGGTCACCTTACAATAATGCTCAGATAACACAATCATTCACTTTCGTTACTTCTGGTCACAAAACACATATATTGACGTTGGTTACCTCTGGTCACTCTACAACGCTGTTCATATATTGACTTAAATAAAGTTTGTTTAGCTTATTTGAACAGTTTTGTCTAAATTGCGTTAAAAATTTGAACTGAAAAAGTTCGTTATTAGAGTCATTCCACAATAGTGGTTTCAAAAAGTGGGACAGTGTTTTTTTTTTTTTAAAGTGATAGTATCATGCCATAACTGGATATAACAGAGAGTTTAAACGTTTAACTACATGATATTGATAATAAAAAGATAAATTTAAGCAGATAAAATGCCAAAATGTGCTTCTGAAAAATGACTGTGGGAAAGTGACGTAGGTTACATTGGTGTCCAGTAAAATGATTTAAATACACATATTTTGTAATAGTGACTATTAAGTTTATGCATTTTCAGTTCATTCCATTGAACCTAATGCACATTTTCTCTGTTAAGTGTCTCAATACTATTTTTTCTGGATGTTTGACTCTCTACAGTTTTGACCAAGCCTCACGAAACATCCTTATTCATGTTTAACCTATTATAAATTAACACAGAGACAACACAATATAAACTGCCTTTTGAAAACAATTTAAAGAGATAGTTTTAGTGAAAAATATACGAAAAGTTATTTTTTTATGAGTATGGAATAGAAAAATAAGAAAATTTGTAAAAAATGTAACGATCATTACAATGGACACCAAAAATTGTGTCAAAAACTAATATCCTAATAAAAAAAATAAGCGTCAAGTTTTCTTATATTTTGATAATGAATTTTATAGAAACTCCATCAAAATAGTTATACAAAGAATAGATATAACATCTACTAAACAAGAGGATGTTGAAATTCAATACAAGTCTAAATATTCCATGTAACAATCGTCACAGAATGTAACAGCCCCCGTACAATTATAGAACCTGTTGTATGTTCAAATAGTCATTTGAGTTTTGTAGAAAGCATCCACTGACCTATAAATGTGTAGAACTCATCAAAAAATCTTTCTTTTCGGTCTAAATCTAGGTTATGTGGACAAATTTTGAGCGAACCAAATGTCTGTTACACATTGAAACACCATAAGAATAAATTTAGTAATTAATACATTGAAACACCATAGGGGTAAATTTAGTGATCAATACACTATTCGGGGTCTGTTTTTTTCTGTGTTGAGTTTTTTAATGTCTAGATCTATCTAGAATATCTCTTTTGCTATATTGATTGATTGTTTTTTTGTGTTTTAACACCACTTTTAACCACTGCATTTAGGCTTTTTTGTTGCTGCCAGTCTTTATTGGAGGAAGCCGGAGTGCCCAGAGAAAACCACAGACCTGCACCTGGTTATGTCTTTTGTCCATTGATTGCCCTTTTTTACTCATGCTTTGGTTGTCTAGATTCTTATGAAATGTCAGTTCATAATTTCTTAATTGTTAATAACATATATATTTAAGGTGGGCAGTGATTTGCTTGTTCCGCATTGGTCAATAACATGGAACCGCTGGGAGGGAGTTTCGGTGAAATGGAATCTTTAATACAGTTTTAAAATTGATTTTTAAAGGGCTACCCAGAACACATGTACATTATAAGTACTAAGTAAAGCCATGAAGAGATGTAAACACAGGGAAACAAGAATAAATTTTCAGTAGTAAAACTCAAGCATAAAAACGTTAACCAAATATTTTATTTGACATAAAACTTGGAACACTCTCTGGCACAGATTCCTGAAGTTCAAAGATCTGAAAAAGAGGAAAATGGTACAGCATTAACTTTTGATATTAACTGAACTTTTCATTATAGTATTCATATATATATATATATTACATTTTGCTATGATACATGTGTGGCAAAATATCTATTTTAACCAAATTAATAAATTTATATGAATAAAATAACATTGCTCTGTGTGTGTGAACATCTGAACTGTTAAGGTACATGTATTCCTTCATTGTACAGTACAAACAATGTATATATTTCTTGGTTGTTCTTGGAAAGATTTATAACTTTTTCTACATGTACATGTATTATGTACATGAATTTCCACATACTTGGTGAACAAATGGCTCGAAAAATTTACATTCAATTGAGGTATTTGTTTCAATTGGTATCAGCCAGGACACAAATTTACACATTCAATATATATGTCAATGTATGTGTTATAGATCATCTTGAATTTAGTTTAGGGTATAATTCAGAATCATCACTGAACATTTTTTGGAATTATAATTTATGACTTATTCTATTTGTATGTGTGGACTTGGCCTATCACTCACAAACATCGGACTTGAATTACTTTGTAAAAGGGTGATCTGAGTTTAAACACTGTATTTTTTTTATATCTATATCTTTGGATAATGTAAACTATGTTTAATAAATAATCTCATATCTACCTTTGAATTTGTACATAAATCGTCTAGTTCCAATCAAACAGACATCTGGCGGGTCTATTGGTTTGACCACCTCTGATGATATTATGGAATGGCGTATCGATGCACTTATCCACAAGTCCTCCTTCTTGTGGGTATAGAAGTAAACATAGGGCCACACATCAACCTAAAACAACACAGTATTGATTTTTTTATTGTTCAAAAAGGTATAAAAAATAACAACCACTTATATATCGATACCATACAGTTCAATTTCATCAGATCAGCAAAAAGTTAAAGAAACTGCTTATTACAACTGTAGGCTGATGTTGTTGCAAACCCCAATCACAAATAATTATGATATGTGTAAACTAACTATTTATCCCTCTAAAATTGTGTAATTTAAAGTTACATTTTAGAAATTTATGTAATTATATAGAAATTATAAAACCTACTACATGTATAATATCTAATTATTTGAACTAAAGATCAATCTAGAATACAAGAACCCTTTATTAAAATTCTGGAAATTCAAAATTTTTACAAAAGTATGATACAAAATAGTGGTTAATTAGACATTTAGAAGTTTCTGCAAAACAATCCTAGAAAATATAACAGTAAAACATAATAAAACTTTAACTTAAACTGAACAAAACTGCAATACTTACAACAGCAGGGTATGTTTTTGTCCCTTGGGCAATAAGCAAATATTGCCACTCATATAACTAATACAATGTAAATATAAAGTTGAGTAAATTTGGAAGCTGAATTATGAACACATAATTACACTGATATCTGAAGTCAACTTCAATAATTTATGAACAGTTGCATACATGGTTATCAGACATATGTAGAAACATTACTTGGACAGGAATTACAGTCAGCACTCAAGAAATTTTATCATAGCCATCATGAGCTGATCTGCCATTATGACAAAAGTGTGTCAGAAATTGTATCTAGTATTCTTCCTCAGTCACAAGTAGCCTTCCATCATTAAAGGACTGGACAAAGAAATAACACAACAGGTGCCTTATACGGTGCAGGAAATGCCTACCCTTCCAGAGCACCTGATTTCACTGCCAGTTTTAAGTGGAGTTCGTGTTGTTACTTACTTACTTTAACTGTTTGTAAATGTCTGTTGTTTACTCCTTGATTTTGAATGTTATTGTCTTATGTACATTAAAACAATAAGTCTATTCATCACTAATATTTTCCTTACCTCTGTTGCTCATTACATCTTTTAGTGTAGTGCTCAGAGACTAAGAGCTGGTCATATAAGGGCTTCTCTTGGAACAGTACAATACTATTGTCCCTCTGTTCACTGTTATCCTGCAAGTTGGACATCAGAGCCTCTTCCGGTTGAACTGAAGCAAAAGGTTGGACATCCATGGGTTTAACTGTCATCAAGGACTGGTTATCTGTCAGTTTATCCAATAAGGAGTGTTGATCAGTGGTGGTCTCATCCTGAAAAACAGCATGAAATTGTAATGCATGTAATGGCATAAAATTCTTGCACACCTTTCATCATCAAGACAAAAAAGTTCCACGTACCAAATGAAAGCAATACATTAATGGGTCTAAAACAGCTTATTTAATTTTTTTTTAATGGGTGGCTCCATCATTGTCCATTATAACTGTATGATCATGCCCAAAGTCTGGGTCTGCAATTTACATAATAAATATAGATACCTTAGACACAACAATACTATTGTTGCTCTGTTCACTGTTATCCTGCAAGTTGGACATCAGAGCCTCTTCCGGTTGAACTGAAGCAAAAGGTTGGACATCCATGGGTTTAACTGTCATCGAGGACTGGTTATCTGTCAGTTTATCCAATAAGGAGTGTTGATCAGCTGTGGTCTCATCCTGAAAAACAGCATGAAATTGTAATGCATGAAATGGCATAAAATTCTTGCACACCTTTCATCATCAAGACAAAAAAGTTCCACGTACCAAATGAAAGCAATACATTTATGGGTCTAAAACAGCTTATTTAATTTTTTTTAATGGGTGGCTCCATCATTGTCCATTATAACTGTATGATCATGCCCAAAGTCTGGGTCTGCAATTTACATAATAAATATAGATACCTTAGACACAACAATACTATTGTTGCTCTGTTCACTGTTATCCTGCAAGTTGGACATCAGAGCCTCTTCCGGTTGAACTGAAGCAAAAGGTTAGACATCCATGGGTTTAACTGTCATCGAGGACTGGTTATCTGTCAGTTTATCCAATAAGGAGTGTTGATCAGCTGTGGTCTCATCCTGAAAAACAGCATGAAATTGTAATGCATGTAATGGCATAAAATTCTTGCACACCTTTCATCATCAAGACAAAAAAGATCCACGTACCAAATGAAAGCAATACATTAATGGGTCTAAAACAGCTTATTTAAAATTTTTTTTTAATGGGTGGCTCCATCATTGTCCATTATAACTGTATGATCATGCCCAAAGTCTGGGTCTGCAATTTACATAACAAATATAGATACCTTAGACACAACAATACTATTGTTGCTCTGTTCACTGTTGTCCTGCAAGTTGGACATCAGAGCCTCTTCCGGTTGAACTGAAGCAAAAGTTTGGACATCCATGGGTTTAACTGTCATCGAGGACTGGTTATCTGTCAGTTTATCCAATGAGGAGTGTTGATCAGCTGTGGTCTCATCCTGAAAAACAGCATGAAATTGTAATGCATGTAATAGCATATAATTCATATAATTCTTACACACTGTGATAATCAAGTGAAAACAAATCCACGTACCAAGTGAAAGCAATACATTAACTGTTTAAAAATCTCATCATAGATACAAGGATTAATTTTGTATCTAGCCAGACACGCGTTTCGTCTACAAAAGACTCATCAGTGACGCTGGAATCCAATAAAGTTAAAAAGGCTAAATAAAGTAAACAACTTATTAAAAAAAAGTTGCTCCATCATTGTCCATTACTGAACGATCATGAACTCATCTAACATTATAGAAATATTTACCATATTATATTGGTTATTGCTGACGTCTGAATCACTGTCATCAAGTAAATCCATGACCCATGAAGCCAGCTGCTCAGACAACCCGCTGATGTTTTCCAGGTCTATATCTCCAAGAGTGTCAGTACTGTATTCAAGGACATCATCATTTATGGACATCTTCAAAATTGGACAGAAATGGTTTGGAATCCAATGAGCATATGTCATTTCATCATTTCTGTTTGATGACCAGAGGATATATGCAGGTGTGTTGCTTTCCATTTCCCTTGGCAAGATTGATCGATTGAGATCTTTTCTCACATTTGGATTTCCACGATTTGGATAAACTGATTGCAGAGGCCTTCCCAAAACTGATGCAAGTGCAAAAATCTGCCAAATTCTCATGAATTCATTTGCACTGCATACTTTCCTAATCTCTTCAAATAGTGTTCTTTCTATCAAAGATGAAGTAATTATATCTCCAGGTGTATACAGCTCTGAATACATAACGTAAGACTTTGGGAGAACAAGCGCTTCTTTATCAGATAGTTGTTCACCTCTCCTTAAATATGTATGGTCCACATACAGCGGCAAATAGCATGCCAGTTCTAATGCAATTCTGGCACGTAGTTCCGTATGATTGTTTTCTGTTCCATACATTATCACACTAGCAGACCTAGGCAAGCAATTTCCATCACCAAGTACACTTGCAGGGAAATATCCTTCCTTGACATCATCCGGCAACAGTTCCATCCCGAACTTGTCAATATGTAACCCACTTCCAGAAATAGAAATGTCTTCATCTTTGTTGCACCTAAGATGTGGTATTACACTTGCGAGTTCAGTTCCTTTAATCATCATGTCATCTACTGTAGTAGAGCTCTTCAAAGTTTGTAATATAACTTCAAAAAGAGTGTCCTTATTATCTTGCACTCTTGCAATATTGACTGATAGTTCATTGATTTGTGGTGAGGTATTTTCAAGAGAGTGCAATTCTTCAACTGTTGTGTCTTGTCTGTTAAATTCTTTTTGTTTTGGTAAATCCTGTGTTCTCTCTTGTGAGTCTGCTTTTTTGTGGCTATTTGAACGAGTTGCTCTTTGGTTTTTCTTGCTCAACTGTTTTCTTGGAGTTTCCTTAAACAAACCTTTGACATTTTTCTTGTCAACTTTCTTACTTTTTTTAGAGGTGTCTTTCTTGTTCAACTGTCTTCTTTGTGTCTCTTTTATCCAACCTTCTACCATGTCTACATTATGACAGGAACCAGATCCTTGTATGCATGTTGAGCTAAAACAGCTAAGTGTGCGCTTTTCTAGAGAAGCCGAATCATTGGAAGCCCTCACAGAATGAAGTTGTCTGGTTTCAGGAACAGCCTTCACATTGGTCCTCTCTTGGCGTTTTCTGTTGACATCACCTTCCTTTACTATGAAGAAATTTCTTCTAAAATGACAACATTCATTCTGCGAGTCTAGTGTTGGCCGTCTTAAATTTGCCTCTGCAAAATCAAAGAATTCACTTGCATTTTTCACCATGGCTTTTCTGTTTTTTACAGCATTTGTTACAATTCTTTTAATAACCCCGAATTCACCATCACATGGTCCTTTACCATGCCTGCTTCCAAAGAAGTGTTTCTCAACAGGAAAACCAAAGTCTGATTTGCTGTGAAGAGCATCTGCAAATGGGGTTTTCGACTTGAACTGTGATGCTGCTCCATCACTGAAGTGAATCTGCCTCTTAGATTTAATCTCATAAACTCTTTGTATATACTCGTTTGCCAATGAAATACAATGTTGAACATAATGAAAGTCATGTTTTTTGTCTTCTGACACATAGATCATGCTTTGAGTTACGACTAACTTACAGAATTTGCATCTGATGTAGGCAACAATGCTGAAAAGAGTAACTGTGTCATGAGACCAATGTGCACTTTGTGCTTCATCCTGGTATATACATGTGTAATTTTCTGCAAAATCACTACAGAAAACAGTCCAATCAGACGGCAAATTCTGTGTCACATGTCTGAATTGGTCATGTTGCCACCAGGCAGTATTTAAGATAGCACTGAATGGCTGTAATTCTTTTTTGAGCTCTTCAAGGAAATTATTGACACTCTCTTTCTTTAAACTTAGAACCTTCTTTGATTTTTTTTCATTTGCATGCATATACGTCTGCGTTTCCCATTTATACCATTGTATAATATGCCTTTTGTTCAAGTCTAACTGGGAAATAAACTTATCTACCCCACATAATTTGCATAACCTTTTAAAACATTCAATTTTGTAATATCTAGATCCTTCTGGTTTTTGGCATACAGTTCTTGCTAACAAGTCATATCTGGTGTTAATTCCTTTAATATTTAGTGCCTTTACTTTATATTGAATATTTGTACAATACTCACAAAGACAATTGTTAAAAATAGATTTACTCATAGTCTGTACAGTCTTGGGTCTTAGTGCAGTGAACTTGGAAAAATTTAATGTACATTCTTGGTTTTCTTTAAGGAATTCATTGTAGTTGTCCCTTAAACTGCTCTGCAAGATTCTTTTTGGTTCTTCAGATTTCAATGATGCCTGTTTTTTATCCGGCAGACATACAGTGTCAAAATCTTTGTAGAATTTTTCTATCTTGTCAATTGTATCTTCTGTCAAAGCATCACTTCTTTTTGGTTTTTCAGAATCTTCTTCCCATACATCTTTAAGTTTTGAACATTTAACTGCAAATTTCCAAGAAATGCCAGCCTTTCTCTTTTCAGCATCTTTAAGTATGAAGCTAGTTAAAAGTCTTCTTTTCTTTAAAACCTCCTTAGTGCGATGTTTTCTGGTTTTATGCAAATCATCTTTCATCTTGCAGATTATTTCTTGGCTTATCCTAAGATGTCTTTTTTTTGTTGGTGTCAGTAAAAGGCCATGTTTGGTCAATGCTTCTCTTTTTCTTGGAGTTGCCTTAGCAGTCAACCCCCCAACTACAGATGCAAACTTTTCAGGTGATGAAGGTAGATGCAACGAGGCTCTGTACACAGCCTTTCTTTCTGCTTCCTTTGTTGAATACCCTTGGTGAGTTTCTGTTGATTCAGCTGGCATTAGGTTTTCAGTTGTGCTCTTGGATTTATTCAATTTGTATTGCAACCGCCTTTTTTCATTAATTCTTCTTCTCTTTTGGCTTGAGTACTTTGCTCGTTGTTCTTCTTTTTTTCTCTGCCAGTATTCTCTTTCTGAACTTACTTGTGCACGTGTTTTTGGTTTAGGTTTTTTTTTTAATTTAACAATTTCCTCTGGTTTTCTTTCTTCTCCCCATTTACGTACTCGTAACCTCGTTTTTTCCCTCTGATTGATTTTTTGTTCAGAAGACCAATTTTCCCTCCATTTTCTATTTCGTTCTTTTTCTCTTTCTAAGTATGCAATATATTTTTCAGGGTCTTGTTTTATTTTGTCCCTGTAATTCTTTGACCTTTGTGCAGCAGTTTTTTTTTGTGATGCAGATTCTGATAAATGTATGGTATTTGTTTGGACATCATTGCTGATCTGTGGCCGCATTTGCGACCTCAACTTTAAGCGTAAAAACGACCTGAAAGAAATAATACAGTGGCATTATGCTTTCTGGTCTGTCCCAGATGTTTTTGGTAAAAGTTGTTTATTATGATGTTGAAGTCGTATCAACTTCAAACTTGGTATGTGCATGTTCCTTATAGTATGATCTTTCTAAATTATATGTTAAATAAAGGTTTTGATCTCATTTTTATGGTTCACTATACTTAGAAATGTGATAATGTAATAAACTGTTGACACAGGGATATGTCTCGCCTATATGCAATTTTGATAGTTTAATGCAATTGTTTAAATTAAAACAGCAACATTTAAACATGAAAACTATTGAAAAATTTTCAAAGTCAATGAACCATGACTGAAAATGTGATGTCAAATAATCTTTATGGGGGAGATAATTGTGCAAAAACAAATGGCTGAAAAGGTTATTTACCGCTAAGTGTCAATTTTGAGGGTTATTCGCCCTTACATGTACTTGCTATTAGGTGTAATACCACCATTGATTTTCCCCTATTAGTCTATGTTAAATTTGCACTTTTCAAAAAAATGTGCAGAATTTATCTTTGTTTCAAATAAAGAAATACTTGGCATGAGTAAAGTTTTATCCTGTCCAGTACTATAGAAAAAAATTCACATAACATTTCATTGCATATAAGACAATAACCATCACTGGAAGTTAACCAATCAAATTTTCCCCCTTTTTTAACCTGTGTACAAGCTTTAGTAACCATGTAACCTCAAGTTAACAAAATATTCTATAGAAACCCCAAATAAAAAAATAATGGTGCTTTGAAATACCCAAGATATATATTTATGACCCAGAAATGTTTTACTGCAATGAAATGTAGGATCAATAACTTACAACTGTCAAATTCAAGGGAATATTTTTTTTCGACCTATTTTCGTATGCAACCGGATGTGACGTACTATGATTTGGTGGTATTACACCTATTAGATGAAAATTTATTGAATAATTCCATGTCATAGGATAATGTATTTAAGGAATGACTGTAATATTTTTTCTGTCTATGAAGAAATAACATAAAAAATGTGGTGCACACTGAATAACCCGCGTAGCGGGTTATTTAAAGTGTGCACCACATTTTATATCTTATTTTGAATAGGCAGAAAAAATATTACAGTCATTTCTTATAATTTAATTCTTAATTCCATTTCAAACCGGAGTAAATCATGAAAAAACGTTGATGACGTCACGATCACATGACAAAATTATGTCTATGAGCTGATAAACAAGAGTGCACACGCTGAAATGTCTCGCCTTCTTTACTAATCATTGATATTATGTTGATAGTCCTAAATATAAAGCTTTATTACAACTGTCACATAAACTTAACATTAACCAAGTAAACTAAACATTAAGTTAACCAATGAACCATGAAAATGAGGTCAAGGTCAGATGAACCATGCTAGGCAGGCATGTACAGCTAACATTTCTTCCATAAAACCAATTTAGTTGACCTATTGCTTATAGTTTAAGAAAAACAGACCAAAACACAATAAAATGCTCCGCTGGGGCGCAGCTTGATACGACCGCAGAGGTCGAACCCTTAACAGTTGGGGCAAGTATGGACACAACATTCAAGCTTGATGCAGCACTGAATTTGGATTGTAATTAAATATTTGACACAGCATAGGTTTCTGACACAGAATGAAAGTGGTATAATAACTTAAAAAATTTTAATTTACCTATTCAAACCATATCATTATTATTTGCTTTTTATATATAAATCAGAAATAACCAATTTTAAATGGTAAATTTTAAAGAAAAAAAAGGAAAAAAAAATCCCCCCCCCAAATTTTTTGAACCCCCTTATGATTCATCACCCATAAACTCAATCCCAGCTTTCCTTTTGTGGTATGGAACCTTGCAGTACAATTTCATAAAGATCCATACACTTACACACAAGTTATTGTCCTGAAACTAGAAAAATGCTTGTTTTTTTTGCCCTTTTATGGCCCCTAATTACTAAAATTTTGAGAGAATTACCCCCAAAATAAATCCCAGCCTTCCCTTTGTGGTATGGTACCTTGCAGTACAATTTCAGAAAGATCCATACACTTGAACACAAGTTATTGTCTGGAAACTAGAAAAATGCTTGTTTTTTGGCCCCTTTTTGGCCCCAAATTCCTAAACGTTTTAGGCAATTACCCCCAAACTCAAACCCAGCTTTCCCTTTGTGATATGGAACCTTGCAGTACAATTTCATAAAGATCCATACACTTACACACAAGTAATTGTCCTGAAACTAGAAAAATGCTTGTTTTTTTGCCTTTTTATGGCCCCAAATTACTAAAATTTTGAGGGAATTACCCCCAAAATCAATCCCAGCCTTCCCTTTGTGGTATGGTACCTTGCAGTACAATTTCAGAGAGATCCATACACTTGAACACAAGTTTTCGTCTGAAAACTAGAAAAATGCTTATTTTTGGCCCCTAATTCCTAAACTTTTTGGGCAATTACCCCGAAACTCAATTCCAGCTTTCCCTGTGTGATATGGAACCTTGTAGTACAATTTCATAAAGTTCCATACACTTACACACAAGTTATTGTCATGAAACTAGAAAAATGCTTGTTTTTTGCCCCTTTTTGGTCCCTAATTTCTAAAATTTGGAGGCAATTACCCCCAAAATCAATCCCAGCATTCCCTTTGTGATATGGAACCTTGTGATACAATTTCAGAGAGATCCATAGACTTACACACAAGTTATTGTCATGAAACTAGAAAAATGCTTGTTTTTTGCCCCTTTTTTGCCCCTAATTCCTAAAATTTGGCGGCAATTACCCCCAAAATAAATCCCAGCATTCCCTTTGTGATATGGAACCTTGTGGTACAATGTCAGAGAGATCCATACACTTACACACAAGTTATGTCTGGAAATTACAAAAATGCTTATTTTTGGCCCCTTTTTGGCCCCTAATTCCTTAACTGTTGGTACCATAACCCCCAAAATCATTCCCAACCTTCCTTTTGTGGTATTGAACCTTATGGTAAAATTTCATTGAGATCCATTCACTTAAACTAAAGTAATAGTGCGAAAACTAATGTGTCTTCGGACGACGACGACAACGACGACGACGCCAACGTCATACCAATATACAACCACAAAAATTTTTTTGCAGTCGTATAAAAACTTAACACTGAGCAATGAACCTTGAAAATGAGGTCAAGGTAAAAAAAAACCTGCGTGACTGACAAATAGATCATAAAATATTTCCATACACCAAATATAGTTGAACTATTGCATATAGTATTAGAAAAAAAGACCAAAACTCAAAAACTTAACTTTGACCACTGAACCATGAAAATGAGGTCAAGGTCAGATGACACCTGCCAGCTAGACATGTACACCTTACAATCATTCCATACACCAAATATAGTAGACCTATTGCATACAGTATAAGAAAAACAGACCAAAACACAAAAACTTAACTATAACCACTAAACCATGAAAATGAGGTCAAGGTCAGATGACACCTGCCAGTTGGACATGTACACCTTATAGTCCTTCCATACACCGAATATACTAGACCTATTGCTTATAGTATCTGAGATATGGACTTGACCACCAAAACTTAACCTTGTTCACTGATCCATGAAATGAGGTCGAGGTAAAGTGAAAACTGTCTGACGGGCATGAGGACCTTGCAAGGTACGCACATACCAAATATAGTTATCCTATTACTTATAATAAAAGAAAATTTAACATTACAAAAAATCTTAACTTTTTTTTCAAGTAGTCACTGAACCATGAAAATGAGGTCAAGGACATTAGACATGTGACTGACAAAACTTCGTAACATGAGGCATCCATATACTGATTTTAATAGTTCGGTCTTATGTTGTACTGTTATACCACTGTCCCAGGTTAGGGGGAGGGTTGGGATCCTGCTAACATGTTTAACCCCACCACATTATGTATGTATGTGATTGTCCCAATTCAGGAGCCTGTAATTCAGTGGTTGTCGTTTGTTTATGTGTTACATATTGGTTTTTTTATATAAATAAGGCCTTTAGTTTTTTCGATTGAATTGTTTTACATTTGTCATTTCAGGGCCTTTTAAAGCTGACTACGCGGTATGGGCTTTGCGCATTGTTAAAGATCGTACGGTTACCTATAATTGTTAATTTCCGAGTTATTTTGGTCTCTTGTGGAGAGTTGTGTCATTGGCAATCATACCACATCTTCTTTTTTATATTCACACATTACAACTCATCACTGTTAAGCTGGTGGCCAAGTATGGGTCATTCCGCTAATTAATTTGAAGTAGTGTTTGACAAAAATATTTAACAGGCAAATGGACAAACAGACGGATTTTTATACAAGGTGATTGCAATATAGCCCCCACTCTTAGAGTGGAAGTATAGTATATGAAACGTATATAATATACCGGATTTAAAGTGGTTTCTTCGGTATCAGGCAATCACACTACATTTAAGTCTTATCCGATATTATTGCGCAAAGTTTATTTCAATAAATTTTTCCTGAAATATAATATTTTCTTTAATGCAACAAGATCTTTGTTTAAATATAAAATCTTCGTGTCCATGTGTAACAATCTTTAGGTGTACTAGTGTCTCAATGTTACAATCATCACAGAAATGCCAGTATAATCATTACAATAGTGGCAGTGCATTGGGAGTATGCAAAAATAAACTTTTGACATTTGAAATGCAGATGGCATTATAATATTTATTAAGTCTAACATAAACATGTTTATTTCTGCAATTCAAGATTTTAGTGTCCCTGTGTAACTATCACTTAAAATTTTGGAGTCTCAATGTAACAATTGTGTTTTATTCTGGCGTCTCCATGTTACAATCATCACAAAAATAGTGACTAGATTGTCACTTCAATATTTACAGAGCATTTTGCAAGTATGTAAATGAAAAAAATTGACATTAAAGTCCATTAAAATGAAGATGGCATTACTGCACATAAATATTTTCTAAAATAAACATGTTTTTCTGCAATTCAACATGATTGTTACAGAGACACATAATTTTGGTGTCCCTATGTTACAATCACTTTGAATTCTTGTGTCTAATTTGTAACAATCGCTACATAATTTGGTGTCTCAATGTTACAATCATCACAGAAATAGGGACTGTATTGTCATTAGTAGGCATTACAATAGTTGCAGTGTATTTGCATGTATGCAAATGAAAACTTGTGACATTAAAGTCCGTGGTATATTTAACCATTAATATTTGCTTTAAAAATTATGTGTTTTCCACAATTTTGCTTGATTGTTACCGAGACACAAGATCTAAGTGTCCGTATGTAACAATCGTTTCTTAAAACGGTGTCTTTTTGCATGATAATATAAAAACATTTTTTTATTGTAACCAAGGGAAATATAAAGTTCGTGGATATCGATAGACTTTATACATTTCTTCTTCATAGGACTGGTAAATATTTGCATTATTATACAATACTTCAACTATAAATAAAGAACTGTGAATGATCGTTACTTGTGTCGATCGTTAAATTTCAGGACACAAAAACGTTACCTACCCATTCTCCGCCATATTCCATTTGTGTTCCCCGCTTGTACACGTCAATGATTCATGTGCACATGCTATGTCACTAACACAAAAATTGAGGTTTTGCTGATGCGCAGTAAGAAAATATAGGTGAATGAATGATCGTTACAAACTGGACGCGAATGTCAGCCGGTGCATTTCAATTACGATCACGTGTCAACGGAACGTCTTTATGTTATTGTTTTCACATTTTACACAGAGAAGACATAATTGGTGCATTTAAACATAATCGCTCATGCATGGCACCTACAATTAAAAATCCTGAGACCATTAGTTTTGGGTTATACAGTGGACACGACAGTAGCGATCGTTTACATTAATTTCAAAACAATATTTTTACCTTTTTTGTTTATTTTTCTCCAACAAAATCGCGTATAATAACGGTTTAAACCATCTACTTCACCATAGATTACTCAATAAAACATAAATCTACAAATATAACGTATTTGTGTATAATTGAAAACACCGTACCAAGGATGTCCCAGAAAATGGCCGATTATTTTACCCTACTTCATCATAAACTGGTTTCAAAATATATTTAAAAAAACATTAACAACCGAAATTATATCTTCTTTTATTTCTTTGATATGCTATTTAAAGCATGACATTACGAAATGACCTTAAATATAGACTAAAGACTTAGTTTTTACTTGTTTTAAATGAGAAGTCTATTTTTAGCCACTACCGTGGAATGACTCATATATCCCCATTATTATTTAATCTATTGATAGCTTACCTTACTATCCCTATAGATCTATCTATAAGCAGCTTAGCTCGAATGTTAAATAGTATGGTGCTGTTCCAATGTGTCTTCTTTTTCTGTTTCTTGAGGAGGATTTTTTCAACCTGTTCAGTCACTATAAAGTGTTACAATTCATATTTAGACGCAACACATAAATGGTGACCAAAAAGGTACCGCAATCACAGGATGGACCCTAAAATCAAAAAAATAAAATATACACATTTTTTTATCTTTTTTTTATGGGACAAGGAGATGTGATTTTATTGCCAATGTATCGACAGTTATTTATGATGATTCATAGACCGAAAAACAAATAAGTGAACAAATTACAGGTTACAGAAGGGCCTTCAATATTTCAACGGTCCAGGTTGAAAAATAAATGACATGACTTGAAAAAAAAACATGAAAACTAAATAATAGTCCAAAGTTGAGCTCGAGTTACATTCATTGAAATATTTGAAATAATTATGAGGTTAACAAGACATGAGCTTTCAGATAATCTACAAACATGCTGCCCACACCTGAAAAAATAATTGTCTGCTTTCAGAGTGCTTTCCTAAAATCATGAATGAGTGTGATCGTCTTCTGGCTGAACGCCAAACGTATAAGGATAAGATGTGATTTTAAAGGAAATTATCCATCTGATAATTTACAAGTAAATAACAGATTTTACCTGAACTTCTAAAACAATGATTCAAATCGTATGCTTCTTTGCTACATGTATGTAAAACTAGAGGCTCTAAAGAGCCTGTGTCATTCACCTTGGTCTATGTGCTGCAGTGCATATTAAACAAAGGACACTCTACAACATTAAAGACAAGAAAAGAATTCATGACAAAATTCTCTGTTTAGGTGATGGTGACTTGTTTGTAGATCTAACTTTACTGAGCAATTTTGCTGTTTACATTTTATCTCTATCTATTATAATATTCAAGATAATAACCAAAAACTGCAAAATTTCCTTAAAATTACCAATTCAGGGGCAGCAACCCAACAAGGGGTTGTCTGATGCGTCTGATAATTTCAGTGCAGATAGATCTTGACCTGATGAACATTTTTACCGCATGTCAAATTTGCTCTTAACATGCTTAATGCTTTAGTTTCAGAGATATAAGCCAAAAACTGCATTTTACCACCATGTTCTATTTTTAGCCAAGGCGGCTATCTTGCTTGATGGGTGGGGTCATCGGATACACTTTTTAACCTAAATACCCTAAGGATGATTTAGGCCAACTATGTTCTGATTTGGCCAAGTAGTTTCAGAGGAGAAGATCTTTGTAAAAGATTACAAAAATTAAGAAAAAATTGTGAAAAAAATTGACTTTAAAGGGCGATTACTCTTTATGGGGTCAATTGACAATTTTTGACATGTTTGACTTATTTGTAAATCTTACTTTGCTGAACAATTTTGCTGTTTACAGTTTATCTCTATCTATTATAATATTCAGGATAATAACCAAAAACTGCAAAATTTCCTTAAAATTACCAATTCATAGGCAGCAACCCAACAACGGGTTGTCTGATGAGTCTGAAAATGTCAGGGCAGATAGATCTTGACCTTATGAACATTTTACCCACATCAGATTTGCTCTAAATGCTTTAGTTTCAGAGATATAAGCCAATAAAATGCTTCGCTGAGCGCAGCCTGATATGACCGCAGAGGTCGAACCCTGAACAGTTGGGGCAAATTTGGACACAATATTCAAGCTTGATACTGTCTGAATTTGGATTGTGATCAAATTTTTGACATAATATAGGTTTCTGACACAAAATAAATGTGGTCAAAGATCTTTCAAATTTATTGCGCAATACTGTGCAATGAAAGATTTCTTCTTGAAAATTTTCAAAAATTCGCGAAATATGAAAAATTTTGAAAAAAAAATATGAATCCCTTAAAAAAATTGGAAAAAAAATCCCCCCCCCAACTTTTTGAAACCCTCCTTGGAGCAATAACCCCATTACTCAATCCCAGCCTTTCCTTTGTAGTATGGAACCTTGTAGTACAATTTTATAGAGATCCATACACTTAAACACAAGTTATTGTCTGGAAACTAGAAAAATGCTTGTTTTTGACCCTTTTTGGCCCCTAATTCCTACATGTTTTGGGCAATTAACCCCAAACTCAATCCCAGACTTCCCTTTGTGATATGGAACCTTGTGTTACAATGTCAGAGGGATCCATAAACTTACACACAAGTTATTGTCTGGAAACTAGAAAAATGCTTGTTTTTGGCCCCTTTTTGGCCCTTAATTCCTAAACTGTTGGCCCCATAACCCCTAAGATGAATCTCAACCTTCTACTTGTGGTATTAAACATTGTGGTACAATTTCAGAGCAATCGAAATACTTATACACAAGTTATTATCCTGAAACTAGAAAAATTCTTGTTTTGGACTATTTTTGGGCCCCTAATTCCTAAACAGTTGAGACCATCATCCCCAAAATCAATCCCAACCTTCCTTTTGTGGTATTGAACCTTCTTAAAAAATTTCATAGAGATCCATTCACTAAAACTAAAGTTATTGTCTGGAAACCAATGTGTCTTCGGATGACGACGCAGACGACGATTACGACTTCATACCATTATACGATCCAAATAAATTTTTTGCTGTCATATAAAAACTGCATTTTACCCCCATGTTCTATTTTTTCTTGGTTGATGGCCAGGGTCATCGGATACATTTAACTAGATACCCTCAGGATGATTTAGGCCAAGTTTGGTTGTATTTGGCCCAGCAGTTTCAGAGGAGAAGATTTTTTAACGGATAACTACGGACGATGGACGCCAAGTGATGAGAAAAGCTCACTTGGCCCTTTACTGCATCATACAGATAAAAGAAATTTGACTTATCGGTATGTTTGCAATACATTCATGACATTCTGCATTGTTTAAGGCATGTTTAAAGCAGAAACAATGGAACGCATGCATTAATTATTCATTTTCAATACTTTGTGAAAGAGAACAACATGTTTTATGCACTGTCATGACTATGACAAACTTCAAATGGTGTAATGCAACCTGTGACGTCAAGTGTGATTCGCTGTGATTCAACACAATAAAGTACTGTAGATTGTTTGTTCTTTTCTTTTTTTATTATAGTATTTTTCATTTTTTCATAATTACAGATAAAAAAAATAAAGGACTTTTTGTTTAACATGTTTAAGATACTGACTTTATCACTGTAAAATATATTTTACCATGATAAAGTCAGTATCAAAAACAAAAAGTCCTTTATTCTATATTTCTCACGTAGTCGCATTAATCACAATAAAAACCTCTCAATAATTTCTGAATTTACAATATCAACATTGATCAATGTATCTAAATTTGTCTACCTTATTGAATAGTTTCCCGAAATATTCAAAAACTCATATGTATATGCATACTTAATTGAAGCTATATATATAGAATAGGTAAATTGTTAACAGTAAACATGCTTTTATAGACAATACTATACAGTATGTGTTTTTCTGTTGTTGAAGGCCATACAAGTGCCTATAATTGCTTCGCACAGTGCGGAGCTATTAGTTTCAGTCGATAAACAAGCCATCTTGAAATAATTACTAATCACATATAAATTCTGATTGGTTGCTTTTTGATGCTGCTGAGATACAGCAACAGCTATTGGCTTAAATGAGATAAAGAATTACAGACTTTTCTTGTCTCAGGATAAGACACCAAATGCCGGAAAATTAACTGTGTATTCCGATCAACTGTCATAAGTTCATGTTCGTTTTATTATGCATATATTGCACACTGAAATTCAATATTGAAATATCAATTATTAATACGTGTTTATTTGCTTTGTTAATCTGCAATATGCACGATTTGTTTAGCTAAACAATGTTCCTATACAATGTTTACAAAAATGCATTATCTGTATTTTATAACTTCTGCCAATATAGGCACACCTCCAGAATACTAATTCAACAACCACATGCACACATATTACCATAAATTAGGGTAAAGCGAAGCAGTCCACAGCTTTTTAAAAAGCTCAAACTTGTTAATGCTTACATTCACTTCATTTAACATGTTTATACTTTGACCGATAGTTGTTTCATTGGCAATCATACCACATCTCCTTATTTTTATATTAACTGATTAAAGGTGCAATAAAATTAATATGTGTTATAAAAAAAGATAACGTAAATTATTGTTCATACAACTTGATGAAAATAGATAATCATGCCAAAATTATCAACCAGAATATTAAGTAGTTGTCCTGGTACTACCCATAGTGATACTATAAATGCTTGTATAGAACA